CAGAAAGTTTGAAAGAACAGCATTTACTTGAAATATAAATGTTTCGTAACATTATACATGTCTTTACAGTCACTTTTTAATCAGTTTAATGCATCCTTACTGAATAAAAGTATTCATTTCTTGCAAAAAAAAATAAAAATAAAAAAAATAATAAAATCATCTTACTGACCCCAAACCTTTGATGGCCACTATGTTTCTGATGCACACATGAATCAAACAGATACTGTTTTTCTCTTTCAGTTTCTCCGTAGTAAAAATGCAATAAGCACAACAAAATGAATGACATAAAGGTTCATAATAGCTCTGAAAAACATCTTACTCAATTTGCGTCTTGGGTAAATTGAAATAACAGAATGTAAACAAGCAACACACCGAGTCAGACTCGTTTTCTGCGTGTTGTGTTAAAAGGAAAACTCTCAGCAGGGGACTACCATGTGAAACTTTTCCATTTCTGAATTGTTAAGACCTTGTACCCAACTGTACCGGCAGGTGACAAACCACTCTTCAGACATACCCGAGCTTCCTTCACTATCGATGTGGAATTGGTTCCTGTGGATTTCACGGGACCATTCGCACCTTTTCCAGCTTCCTCTGTGTTCATATGTAGTTGTGTATAATTATCTCCCAAGGCTCCTTACTGTGTGGGTAGAAGCCCAACTGTGAGGGAGATGTGGAGGATCCTGACAGCTCGCGGCAACTTTGTGTTTCGCACATCGTCAAGCTAGAGCTGTTTTGCTTCTTCAATGCCAAAACACCCAGCGTTATCAGCAAGACTCTGTGCTTCGTAGAGGTGAGTGCTTGATGGCTTGGGCCCATTTCAACCGTTCCCCCTGCAACCGTTTCCCTCTAAGGAATAGATGCAGGTGAGAATGTTCTGGTAACTTTATTTAACATCACCAGCATGTAGTCCCATCGGGGTAAAAATACATAAATGTGGTACACAAATGATGCCTCTGCTGTGCAGACCGCTGAGTTGTTGAGAGGACAGAGTATCTCTTCGAACCCCTTGGACTCCTGATGGCTCGCTTTTGGAGACAAATTGGGTCTTCATTAGGAAGAAACAAATCATTTAAAGAGCCAATCATGTGGGATTAAAGGTTTCGGGTCCGATGCCCAGTGGTTCAAACAAAGTCATCCGTCCTGCCCAGATCTGAACATCACTGAGGAAAACTGGGATACTGAGGCTGTGATGGAACAGGGGGCATCATGATGTGACCATCTGCTCCATCACTCAGAAATTAGGGCAGGTTAGGGCTGAGACTGTGGGACCTGTTTAAGTAAACGGCCTTTTAATACTATTCTCAAAGGACAAACGTACAATGTGTGAGACTTATACAGTCAGCCACATTATGTAAAGATCAGTAAATACAGACAAACAAACAAAACACAAATAGTGGTGTGGCTCGCTCAGGCTCGGTGGGCTTGCATCGCTTTTCACCCTGTCCCCCGTTTTATCTGCATCACAAATGAAACAGGAGCATCGCCACTGCATATTTATGAACACGGCTGCTTCAGTAAATGGCAACACTGCTGCATATTTATAGAGTAGGTTGTTTCAGAGAAATGAGGTCCTTTTGAATTAACATGAATCTCTTGATTCTGGTAAAGGATGTTCTGAATGCATCGAAATGTCTTCCACTTGTCATCGGTAAACACGTTTCTGTGGAGATCGAGCGCAAGGTGTTATTAAATAATCAGACTGGAGTTTGTTCATGCGATCTGCTGTTGGGGGACATGTCAATGTGCAAAGGGAAGTTCACACAGGATGTGTTCTTGCATTTCACCTGTGCTGTTTTTGGAAAATATAGTTCAACTTTTGATAGGAAGCTTGGCAGCTCAATGTCTGTTTTAAAAATACGGACATCAGATACATCTTAAATGTATTCAGTTTGCACATTATCTATGGTGTATGGGCATTAATGCACCTATAACAACACCTTCTGTTCAATTACGTTATGCTTTGTCTAGCTATTTTTAATCAAGAATTCATCATGTGTGAATTTCTGTGTAAGTACATTTACATTCACCGTTATAATTGAGCTATAGCAGGTTATTGCATTGTCGAGTTACAGTCTTTATCTGTCTAAGCATACATGACACAATGCGTAATCAAATATTTGAAGGATTAAGTCACCTCTGTCTCTCAGAGCAAGAGCAGATTGTTGAGGCCACTTGTAGTCTGTTTCATTTGCATATGCAACTGTTCAAAAGCTTTGGGTCAGTAAGATAAAAAAAAATAAGAATACTTTTACTCAGCAAGGATGCAAAACTGACAGAAAAGACATTTATAATGTTTCAAAAATAAATGCTGTTAACATTTCTACTCATTAAAGAATTCTACTAAAGAATTTCCACTAAAATATTAAGCTGTACAATGGTTTTGAATATTGATAATAAGAGGAAATTAGAACTATTAAGAAATATTAGAATGATTTCTGAAGGATTATGCGACAAAAAATTCAGCTTAGCCATCACAGGAATAAATTAATCTAAACAAAACCATTTTAATTCATAATATTTCACAATTTTTCAGTTTTTACTTTATTTTTGATCAAATAAATGAAGACTTGGAGAGCATAAGAGACTTGAAAAAAGTAAAGTAAAAAAATAACTAACAAAAAAAAAACTTCTGAATGGATGTGCTAGACGAATCCAAGCTACAATTGCATTATCCACATCTGTTAGTCTGACTTCACACACACACACACACACACACAAAAGAACTGAAATGGAGTGCATGTAAATGCTTTGTAGCTATGAATGCAGCTTGTCAGATTGTATGATTATGAGCCAAGTGAGAAAAGCCAAGACAGATCGTGTGACATCAACAGATTTTGAGATATACGTCATTGACTGGGCAGTCTGTGTCCTGTCTGACATCTTTATTTGAGAATGAGCATGTCACACTAAGAGATTCGAGTCTGCTGAATTTGCCCTACGACAACAAAATTGAAAAGAACTATTTTACAATCTTTAAAATTTGTCTCAGACTGCAAAATTGTGGTTAAAATCTTATAATGTGCACCCTAATTTGCAACTGGCCTGTTTATAAGACTACTGTGTCTGAGAGTGTGTTTTGCTCCCATTATGCAGAGGAGTAGACGAAAGGATGTGGCAAAGCCCCTCGAGGAAGCTCAGCTGCTTTGTTATCTTTGGCATTCAGGTTAACACAGATGACTGCCTTATTGTCAAATTAGCCAATATACTGAGCTCCGGGTCGCAATGAAATAACAAAACAATAATCCGCTCACAAAATCCTGTAAAGACGCACAAGCAAAATATACTTAGTAAGACCAAGGGACAAAACACTTTATCAGATGATGTGATTAAAGGTAAAATCCTTGAAATGTCTGGATGCTCTTGACTGGACAAGAAACTCAGGCTTGCCTACTTCTGTGAATTATCAAATTAGCTTTTGTTACTATGCAAAAGTTCAAAGCTATTATTTCTGAAGGCCAAATTTAGATGCAGAACCATATTAGTTTGATGATGAGGGAGCTGATCATTACGTTCATTCTTTGAATGTGAATGAGCAATGGCAGTTTGGGGACATAACATTCTATGATGAGTCACTCAAAGAGATACGTAACGGAAACAAGCAAACACAAAAACAAACAAAGACTCCTTTGAAAGAGCCTTTAGAGCCTGCCATTAATTACCCTGAGGCTTTTGGAGAATCAATGCTAGGGAAGGCTGGAGCTCTCAAATAAAAAAAAAGAGAGAAAAAATTGATTGGCAAAGCCTGCGGAGATGGAGAACACCTATCTGTCTCATCGCATCTCTTTTTTTTTCTTCTTCCAGTACCTTCCTAAAGAAGCATGTCTATTGGCTGTTAACTCATCCTCACATTGTTCCAAATCTGTATGCTGTTATATTTAAGTGGAAAACAAAAGGCGAATGTTTAGAATATACATGTCAATCATGGGAAGGAAGAAAAAAACAGGTAAATAAATATATAGAGTCCACTATAAAAATGCTATGCCATAATTTATGCCATTTAATATGGCAAAAATAATTTTCATAATAAACCATTCATTTGCTTGTAACAGTTCACATCTGTTATGCTCCAAAAATAAATAAATACATAAATAAATCAATCACTGTGACCAGATCATTGAGTCAGTAAACTGAATCAGAACACAATTGTCTCTTTTATAGTAGTTTGATTCATTAATGAATCACATTTGATTCAATGATCCAGTCATAGCAGTTCTCCAATTAACAGCTCACTGGAGAGGAAGACTGTCAGTGAATCATTTCATTTAAATATTGTATGAATTCAGAAGAGTTAGAATATAGCGTACACCATATGGACTACATTTATCATGATTCCCCCCCCCCCTTTTTTTTGGAGTGTAACAGCTGTGCTCTATATGCCTGATAAAAGGAAAAGACCTGGTAAAGATTCTAATATCTAATTTTATTATCTAATTAATTTTAGTTGCAAATAAGGAAATAAACTCATATAGGCATGGAACAACATAATGGTGAGTAAATAATTATACAATTCTCAAAAAATAGCCACATTTTCCTCTTCCCACCGAAAAACAAACACTTCCTGATGATCTCTCCTTCTGCAGTGACCAGGAAGCAACAAAAAGATGAGGGAAGGAAAATAAAAGGCAGACATTGGCTCTCAAGCTCGAGGCTGAGGAGGGATTTGAAGAGAGGCTCTCTGAGGAAATGATCTTTGCGAGGGTTATTGGAAATGGCGTGAGCTGGAGTGTGCTCTGTGAGTGAGAAACTTAATCGCCTCTCCTCTCATTCCAGTCAGCTCCATTTCTCACATTCCTAGAAAATGGCTGCCAGGGAGCCTGCAGGCTCCTGCAGCCCACAGGCAAAAACTAGCCGTACCTGACAGCTCGCTCGCAGTTTGGAAACACCACTCAAAGCTCTGCTGGCCGCAAAACAGAGGCCTCGTAACCGCATTGTTTTACACTTCTGAAAGCATACACGCGCACACACATACATACAAATGAACAGTACACATACAGAGGGCGCTTTGGTTCAGTATCATAGAGGCAGAGAGAAGAGGAAGAGAGGGGATAAGTCACTTACTGGTAGAACAGTTTATCCTGATACAGTCTAGATGGGGGAGAACAGACAAGATGTAAATTCAGCCTTCAAGGTTATGACTGCAGACATCCATTTCAAAACATCGCCCACAAACTGGGGACGGACACGCAAACCAGGTGGACGCGGAGAAGTGCTGTTTCGCTGACCAGATACGCACTCTTTCTTTTCTACCTCCTGCGTGCTGATAATGAACCCCAGGTGGAGTGGATACGGACTCGCTGTCTGCGCTAATGAATATTCATGCATTCACTGTGCCATAATATATTTTGAATTAGGGAAATTTGGCATGTATTGAAATGTGATTATATCCAGTTCCATACTAGTCTTGGGACTACTGAATATTCAGAGGTAATTGATTTGCTCTCTGGGTTAGCTCAGAAAGTGGCACAGGAAGCAGAAAAGAGAGATAATCTTGCCAGAGAAACAGCCTATCCTCGCCAATGGCGCTGCTGATGCTCTCATATGCACATTTTTAAAAACCTTTTATCTTTATTTCCCTTTAATGAGCAAAAACAGAGGAATTAAAGAACGAGTCATATTTGAAGAATTTGGAAATGGGAAAAAGGCCGCAAGATAAGAAGGAGAGGAAAAACTAGTGTTTATGGACATGTCGCAGCAGAGCACCAGAGCGTGTCCACGGTAAGCCTTAGCCTCCTGGGAGCAGAGCTGAATTCAGAATGCTCCTGTAGATGAAAACACTCCAAAAACTCACAGCCCTGGACTTGAGGTTCACTTTTCCTGCTTGCATGTGAGAAGAACCCCATGTGCATGAATAAACATAGGAAGAACACGTTTTATAGTAATCTCTCACAGTGACACTTCAAGGAAAGCTAGTATGGGTGAAGTTTGTGTGTGTGTGCACGAAAAAAAAGAGAACATATCTCTCAGTAATTTCCCTAAAGACAGTATACTGACACGATCATTATTAATGCTACTAATACCGCTTTTAAATAAACTCTCTTCAGGGCTCAACAATTTTTTCTTAAGTTGTTTTTACTTGCCCTGCCAACATCTTCACTGGCCTCACGACAAAAGAATGATCACTTTAAATGTTTATATTTGCTAGAAATGTATTTTATGTGCTAAACATGAAATGCTAGAAATCAATTTTTATTTTCAATTTATAGTAAATATGCAAAATTATTATTTTTAATCTAATTTAAATTATTTATACCCATCATTATATCATAATCATTCTTACTGAAGATTTTCATAAGTGATTATTGCAATTTCAATGCTAGCCAGTTTGATATCATTATGTTAGTGACAAATCAACAGAATTTGTCACAATGTTTACTACATCAAATAAACCAAACGGTTAAGTTTAAGGCATAAACATCAATAGGGCCTTTCGCACCGCTTTAGTTCCAGAACTAAATGTACAGTACTAAAGTACTGGAACGATTTTGCGCCGAACTATTTCCCAGTACCATTTAAAGGGTTACATTCGCACCGACAGTGTGTACTAAGAAGTGACGTAAGCCGGTCGACAGCGACGTCATTTGTGCGCGGTGTTCAACAACAGAAACAAGAACAACGTTAACAACAGGAGGATGGAGGACGCTGTGAT